CTTAAAGGGCACATTATGCCTCAGACACAAATAACTTTTAACTTCTTTAGAAGGGGCAACATTAAATTTATAATGTTTTAACATTGGTTTTAAAGAATGTTAGATGTTTGTTACCTGAAGAGATTAGCAATAGTGTGAACTAACTTGTCATCATACGTAGTAGCAAAATGAAAAGAAAGTAGTATTTAAACTTCCATACAAAATACTAAGTCGCTATAACTCTACTTATTGTCAAAAAGAAACGGATAAAAAAGATTAAGTTTAAGTTAATGGCCAATGAGTAAAAATTATTTGAGTGAATATAAAAACATTTCTAAGGAATAATGGGCCTTAACCCCCTCCCCCGAATTCTCGCATGTCTGCGTTGTAAGTAAATATTTTTTTGTTTCTCGGTAGGTAATTGAAATATGATTATTGACGGATGTCTTAAAACTTTTTATGAAGGAGTAAACCGTAAATCAAGGCAATAGTTAGTAATATTTAAATACTAAGCCATTATATCACTGCCAGCATCTCAGTATATATATATATATATATATATATATATATATTATATACATGTTCGTACGTGATGCAATGTGACATAACTATTCTATAGAGAAAGATACTTAAAGTTTTTAAACAGTTAGATAATAATAATAATAATTATAATATATATAACGCTTTTTTTAACTTATAAGGCTAGTATTTACTACAAGTTAACCTAAAATGGTTAAATGAAATTATTTAATACTATTAGTGTAAACAAATTTCTTTAGCTGTAGATACGTATTGTCTTTATCCTTATATATTTATAATAAAATATAAATTGTAGAAAAATATATAAAATGTTTACTGTAAACTTGTTCTGACAGAATAGGGAGCACAATCGTCAGTTTCATTCTTTGCAACTAAGCTGCTGTCACAGTATTATTAATAGTATTATTAATGGTAAATGAATAACAGCAATTATTTAATGTACTGGTATTTAGAGAAAAAATGTAATATTTTTGTTGTTACTTTAGGCAATCAGCAAAATGCTTATAAAAAGTGTTGACATACCTGTCAAATTATTTGATAATTAATGGTGATGGAAATTAATTAACTGCTTATTACTGGAACCTTCAAGGCGTTTTAGTTGCGCAAATAATGTTTAAAGATATACTATGCTCTGTTTTGGTTAAAATATTTTTTATCTTATATTGAAATCCATGAAATTCTTACTGATTATATTTAGTTTGAATAAAATAATGAATAAACTATGTATGGGAAGCTGCATTCCCTATAACGGGTCAAGTTAAGTTGGTCTTTTCTTAAAGAAAATGCCAGTTTTTTTAATGACACTTTATATTCATATTGTGACCACCTACAGTGTGTAGAGTTCATTCATAACATATCTACTTTAAATAAAGTCGAAACATGTTGATTTTATACATACAAAGAGACTGTGTAGCAATAATTAACATTTTCAAAATCAAATTTGAGCGTAGTATATCTTTAACGTTGTAACAAATCCTACTTTAAATAAAAAAGATATATACATCGCATATTCACGACAGACATGACAGGAATAGATGAGAAACACCAAACCTTTTTTTTGTAAGTTTTATTTACAGAGCGCAAAAGTAAATGCATTGCACAAGTTTTATCAGTGGGAGTTATCAAGAACGATTAATAAAAATGCTTTCATGCCCTGAAGAGCAAAATCCGTTCGAAAAAACTCAAGTATTTAGTTATTTAAACTTTAACCTATATTTCAGTAAATCAGTGAAATGGTTAAATTTGACATTTACTTACAAATTTAAACGCAACATTATTTTTTTCTGAGTTTTTTGTAGATCAATTTTATTCGCATTAATATTCTGTAAATTTTGAAAAAAAAACTTAAAATCATTGTGGTGCAACATTTTGAATTAAAGCTACCTTGCTTACAAACAGTTGAATGATTCTAAATCATTTGCTTGATTGTAATGAATAAAAATATTTAATAAAGATTGTGTATAAGCCCCTAAGGTGACATTTTCCACACTTTTTCTCGGAACTTAATACGTTTTTACGAAATAATAATTCGTAGTTATGAAATATTTATTCGATTTTACGAAATATGAATTCGTAATTACGAAATATTAATTCGTTTTTACGAAATATAGATAGATAGATTTATTTCGGCAAAGGAAGCATATACATAGTTGACAATATAACATAGGATAAAATAATGAACATTATTAAATACTATATCACATACGAGTAAAACTATGACATGCTCACCAAAACCAAGGATAACACAAAAAAGGGCAAAAAAGCTCTTATTTCCATTGTGGTCCTTTGTATTGGCGGCATGACATAGAGAGGCAAACCTAAATATAATCATGTTTAAAAATACTAATAAATCATAAAAATGTATATCACAGTCAAATTTTGAGTTAATGATACTCCTGTTTACAGCTAGGATTAAAACACATTACTAAAACTGTAATAAGATAAATAGCAGACAATTTAAAATCCTGAACCGAAATATGTAAAAACATGTTTAAAAAAAAAAATTTAAATACTGTTCATAAGATGACTTTTGATGGCAACCTTAAAACTTTGTAACCTGTTGATCTCCGTTAACTTTACAGGTAAATCATTCCATAATTTAATACCAGAGAAAGCAAAGGATTTAGAACCCTGGCCTTTGACTTTAGGTAGACAATATCCACCCTTTTGACTAAGTCTTGTACTATAATTATGAAAGGAATCTTGTGAAATAAAGTGTTCAGACATGTAATCCGGAGATAGGCCATTTTTTATCTTAAAAACATGACACAACATTATCTGTTCAACTCTTTTATTAATTCGTTTTTACGAAATATTATTTAGTAATTACGAAATATTAATTCGTTTTTACGAAATATTAATTTGTTTTTACGAAAAATTAATTCGTAATTACGAAATATTAATTCGTAAAAACTAAAAAAGTGTGGAAAATGTCACCTTAGGGGCTCCGTATTATAACCTGTAGTTTTCAGACACAGAATACTATACTGATAATAATACGTGTAATATTGATAACAATGAAAATAACCTCGTCGTTAAAGAAGTTGGTGGTGCGTTTTTTGAGATGTTACTTCGACGTAACGTTAGTTGCGTATGATCAGCTATAGATGTATTTTTTAAAAACTGTTATTTCGGATAAAATATACTGATTATAAATCTGAAACTTACGGAGCCCCTCAGGTGACATTTTCGACACTTTTTTCCCCGCATTTAATTCATTCATTTTTACGAAATATTAATTCGTTTTTACCAAAAAATAATTCGTTTTTACGAAATATTAGATAGTTTTTACAAAATATTATTTCGTAATTACGAAATATCAATTCGTTTTTACGAAATAATAATTCGTTTTTACGAAATATCAATTCGTTATTACGAAATATTAAATCGTTTTCACGAAATAAATAATTCGTTTTTACGAAATATTAATTCGTTATTACGAAATATTCATTCGTTTTTACGAAATCTTATTTAAGGTCATTGTGAGCTTGACAAAGAACCTACTAATCTCACAAAGGGATCATTTACAAGCCTGGATCAACCTTGCGATTATATGCCGAATGGTTCTCAAGTTATTATATTTAAGTGAACAGGGTTTTTGAGTGAGAAGTCATTCTCTATCCAAAATGGCCTCTTTTTCCCCATTGTCAAATACATGTTCCTATCAGCAATGTTTTAATTTTTGAGACAATTAATCTTTTCTGACATGTTTCTTTAATAAAAGAAACATGCTATATTATTACTTTCTTTTATCATATACATAAGTAAAACTATAGGGACGAGGTGGCTCCAGACTTTCACGAATCTAATCAATTAAAAAAATATATTTCCTTACAATTTATGTCTGGGCACCGTGCGATCATAAAAACATAACATTTTATTTCAAAACTCAATAATTTCGACTAAACGAAAAAGAAAAAAATTGTCCGTGTTTGAATTTGAAACACAGGATCCCTATTTTAACAAAATTTTCCTAGCGCTTCTACTATCACGGCTGTGGCGGCAACTCTACCAGGCGATTATTTTAATATATATATATATATATATTTATATATATATTCATGTTAAGTTTTAAAAAATTTGGGTAGAAAAAAATCACTATGTTTATAACATTTACCTTATATTCAATCAGGAATTTAGTTTCGAGGCCTTATAAATAAGTATAAACAAAACTTTTTGAAACCCTTGAAAAAAATTAATTCGTTTATACGAAATATCATTTCGTTTTTACGACTTATTTTTTCGTCATTACGAAATAACATTTCGTTTTTACGAAATAATATTTTGTAATTACGAATTATTATTCCGTAAAAACCAATTTTATTTCGTAAAAACGAATTAAGATCCAGGGAAAAAAAGTGTGGAAAATGTCACCTTAAGGGCTCCTAAGAAACTTACACATCAAATTGATAAATCATTGAATAAATGTCAAATATTATCATATTTATTTTTTCCCCGAACATATAATTTACGGGGTGTGTCCACGAATATATTGATCAACCCTCGTATTTCTTGGTTCAGGTTAATTAGCAAATCAAAAATATGAACATCGTATCAAAAATATATTTAGCATACGGAATAAAAACTAACACATTTATAGCATTCATAACATATATATACAATGTAATATCAATAAAAATAAGTTCATTAAGAACCCTTTTTGTAATTCCAAATATCTCCGATTGTTTATATTTTTTATCATGCACTTAAATGTCTGCCCATTTGGCTATATGTTCTGCAGATACTCTTTTTTTAACATTTTGTATTTGCTGAAACATCAAAAGATAATTATATATATGTACATAATTATGCAAAATAAACAAATTTCAAAAATCGAAAAATATGTAAAATATGTACTGCAAATATTTGTGATCATTAAAATATATGAAGTCATTTCTTATTGTAAAATTTCACTTAAACTTTATAGAAAATAGATTTTTTATTACCTCCTTTAAAACCATAAAAAATGTGTTACAGGATCTTTAAATAGATTTGATCAGTACACCAGAAAAAGAAGAAAAATCAGCGTTTGAACTTCCTGTTGCTCGGCCTAAGGAAGTGAAAGACATTCCTCCAACTCTAACAGTTTCATCTTTCCGAACCATGGCTACTGCACTAAAAGACGTACATTTTGCATCTGAATCATTATTAACTCTGCTTGGCAGCATGAATTCTCCGGTAACAATCGAACTCGTGCCGACTTTAATGAAGTACTCTATTTCAGACGTTTTTCTATTGCAGCAAATGTGCGCATAAAACTGATATATCCCGTCAAGTGGTGCCGTGAAAATCCCTGTCTCTATATTGTAGGCGTTGCCTTCATTCAGTATAATATTTGAGAATTTCATGGTTTGACTGCCCGTGTAGTTTACTGCATCCATTACATTAAATGCTACCGTCTCTGAAATATTTTTAATCATACTTTTTTAATTATATGCATTTGCACCAAGAGTTCATTGCAATTAAAAAGTGAGATTTCATGACAGTCTGGACTTACGTGATTTAAAAAGACAGCTTAGTTATTTGCATAAATCATTGAAATTGTTTATCTTTATCAGCACTTTCAAAACTATTCAAACTCAGATGAAGAAGTAACCTTGGGGATAAGCTGTCTGCCTATCAACACAAATATTGTGCTTCCGATCTCTACTCGGTCAAGGAAATGATTCCACATATGACACCGATAATGGTTTGTTCCGTAAAATAGATTCGAGTGTTATTCAAATCTTAAGATTCAATCAAAATGGAGCTTAACATAAAAAATGAATTCTGTCTTACTTGCATACTTACATATGTTAACTATTTGATATCATGTGCAAATTACACATGTTGGCAAACATAATAAAAATAGGAAATATATTTAGAAAAAATACAAGGCTGAAGTAAAACTTGTGAACTTGTTATTTCGAAAAAAACGTATATGGAAATGTTAGCAAAGTTTCCATAACAATGACATTAAATTTTCTGGTAGCATAGAAAAAACCCATTTTGTAAATATAAGAAAACTGATATTGATGACTCTTCAAAGTGAGACATCATCTATTTTACAGTATTTATTATGGTGTCCCTATAATTTGCTTTCACGTGTGACTGTATCACATATGAAAGCAATTAAAAATAAAACGATAATGAATATTATAAAATCAACATACTACTTAAAAAGGTTTTAGTTCTAATTAAGTGCAAACAGATTTGATAGAAAATAAGAATATAACACTATAAAAACTTTGTTAACCGACCTTTGTTCCAAAAACAAAACCATTAATTGTGATTAAGTTTCGGGTCTAAAGTCAAAATGAAACTCCACAAACAAACAGAACAATTTATTTTACACTCTTCAACTTTTTGATTTTTTTTTAAAATTGTTAATCTTTTATATACTGAATCTCATTTTTGATTTCAAAGAATTTCTTGAACAATCAAATATTAATCAAACGAAATATGAAAAGAATGTTTACAAACGAGAACGTAATGTTGGTATGATAAATCCACAGAATTGCTTAAACTTACAGAGCGAAATACCGAAAAACACTGAAAATGTGAAAAATAAAATCGTCATAAACACATCGTATGTAAAATAGTTTTACTGCAGTTGACAATATCTTCAATAGGGGTTAATAATTTAACACTGTAAGATGTATCTGTTGGTGTGTTTTTCGATATTTTCATGCGCATGGGTAAAATGAACTAAGTAAGTGCTTATGTAAAATAAAATGTATCGAGATCTTAACGCAGTGTAAAATGTTTTATTGGATGATGTGATGTTAACGAAACTTAGATATCTCAACAATTTTACTAGAAAGTTAAAGAACTATCATGCACATTAATCTTTTTTTTCTTGGAAATATCTTTTACATTTTATTTTATAATGGCAAGAGCTGTCGTTACGGTATACATTCTATTTAAGAACTATCCTTAAAATATGATTTAAGGATGACAAAAACTATCTTTAACATTTTATTTTAGAATATCCAAAAAGATTCCCAGATTACATGTCGTAATTTAAAATGACCAATGAAAGTTTGTCTTATATTTAGTTCCTCCCTGTCAGTTTGACAGGAAGTCAAACTGATTTTAGATGGCCTTTGGCTAAATAGTGAACAGAATGAACATCAGGGGCCCGTCTTATCAACGATCGTACGACCGTTTTTATCGTACGATTTTGGCGGTGTCTTATCAAACGTCGCAGATTTCCTTAATCTTATGATTATAGTAAGATAGTGCGTTTTTTCTACGATCGCTAAGAAGCAGACGTAGATCAAGCAAAATGGCCGACGTGCTTCCTGTAAATGCTACAAAGTCGTAGAAAAAGTCGACCTTTCAGGCATCGAGTGCAACTTTTGGATTGTCCGAGTGGTCATTTAGTTGTGGCCGACTCTCAGCTTGGATAAGGCGATATTTTAGACTTAGAAATTTATTGTTGGCAATACCTTTCATTTTTAAATGACAAAAAATATTTAGTTTATTTGTTTACTTAAACCATAGTAACGGCACTCATACGAATAGAATGTTGTGACAGAAAATCATTTCGGATAAAAGAGACTAAATTAATTTGACGTAATACATCTAAATTTTAAGTCATTGAATTTTACTGCACCTTTAACTTTATTTATGTAGATCTATCTTGAATATATTTTAGATGAGATTAATCCCCTTTTGTAATGACTTATGTATTTTCAGATTAAAATTACAATCAATGTTTTTACTGTTTTATTTTTCAAACGTATTTAGATTTAATTGTAAACAGTTTGTTGTTATGTGATTATGATATTATTTTCTCATAAGAGACATGTCAGCCCAAAATGAGGAATCCTTTTATAACAGACTATGTAGTACATACATCATAATGATAAAAGTCCTTGTAATGTCAGTCATGTTTTAGTCAAAATTTGTGCAGCAAGATCATAACTGTCATTGTTTTTGTATATCAAACTAATTCCTTTGAACCTTATTTGCCATACCATACTGTGTGTCAAAGGGGTTTTAACTGACAATGAATTTGCAGTTATGTTTAATTGAATCAAAGTCATAATTTATGTATCTTCCGTCTAAAATTTATTTTGTAAACATTTCATTTCAGTGGATTACAATCTCTGGTCAAACAAATAGTTACTGCATGTTTCATTGCAGATATATTCATAAAAAAGTGGTGTTCTATTTTTACCTCTGAAATGTATATTGTAATATTATGTATGTGCTTACATACATTTTGTTAAAGTAGAGGGTTGGCAGAGCATGACAAGAAGATAACTCATCAATAAAAATTGAAGATGACAGAATTTAATAGCATAAGTCTGGAAATTCATTATTTAAAACTTTAAATGCAAAACTATTGTCAATATTTTTTCTGTACAGGGAGATAATTGAAAAATAAATGATGTTATCTTATATGGATTATAATATTTCCTTATTAATAGTTATATTAAAATTATTATTTTGCCTACATCAGTGCATGATTTTTATAAGATATCACTTACAGTTTAGGAGATAAGTGCTGATAAGTATAATAAAATGGGAAATAATTCTTTTACACTTTCTGTCTTAATCAATGTGAAACAAATGACTCATAAACATAGGTTCTGACTAAAATACTAGTTGCCATTTCTACTGCTGTTATATATTTAAGAAGTTTGAAGCTGACATGTATAAAGAAAGTAAAGTAAATTAAAAAAAATATGTATAATAAAGTACCATTAACTGTTCTGACACAGCATATATACATGTAGAAAGCATTTTAACCCAAAAGTGTGTATCATGTACCAAAAACATACTTATCTAATGTTTTTCATGTCAATACTACTTTATATGACAATAACAACATTAAAATTATGTTGTTTAGTGTTCAAGCTTGATGAAAATTAAACTTTTGTCTTGATAATAAACACTATAAAATACAGTATCACATTTAGCGGAAGGCATCTGCAATCATAGTATGTACACACTGATCTTCACTGCTTTAAACAAAGAGAACTTATATACTCTGTACTTGGTTTAAACTTGACATACATGCATTTATTATCTATGCAACAGCAAACAATAACAAACTTGTATCATAAGACATTAAATGCAAAGTAAAATTAATATGCAAAGTAAATGTGCAAATGCAAGTCAAAACAACTTTTTAATTAAAATGACCTTTAAAAGACACTCATGTAAGATCTTCTTAGTTAAAGTTTTTAATAAATAGAAATTTTGATTTATTTTTCAATTTGTCAATACTGTCTATACGGTAGATTTACTGTTATCCCTCAATACAGCTGTTTGTTCTTTAACTTGTAAATAAACTTCAATGTCTGTTTTGTCTGAAATATGAAATACATGGGGTTTTACTAAATCAAAGGAAATTGAAAGACTTCATCTAAAATTTTTAAAAAGATATTAAATGTAAAAGTTAATTTACGTGATGTCACTGTGTATGGTGAACTAGCACGATATCCTTTATATATTTCAAGATATGTTAAGATTTTAAGATTTTGGTTTCAAATGCTTGAGACAGATAATATCATTCTTAAAAATGTGTATAACATTGCTCTTGAAGACTGTAATAGTAGTAAGAACAATTGGTTATCAGGTCTTAAATTGTTATTATGTAATCATGGTTTTAGTGATATTTCGAATTTTCCAAATTCCGTAAATAGTAAATTATTTTTACCAATATTTAAGCAAAGGGTAATTGATTGTTTTTTACAAAGTTGGCTTTCTGGTTAAGAGAGCAGTCCTGTCTTGTATCTGCATAATCATAATTCATAATCCTATATGAAAATTATCTTGCTATAAAACCAAGTACTTTAAGGAAGTATCTTACAAGAATATATAAAAAGATACTATTATATAAGACATATTATGCTTAAGTTCACTAATATGTCAAACAATAGAAGTATATATTTAAAATCCTTGTATGTATTTATCCTTGTATGTACGAGATGCGATGTCTCATAGAAATAACTTAGATATAGTAGATACAACTTTATATATTAATAATTCATCCTCTATATTGATATGAAAGAGACATGTTTATATCCGATCGTGTGATTTATGTTAGTATGTATTGTAAAATTGTTTATATATGTATGACGCTTTATGATTGTACAAGTCAAAAATAAAGTATCTGTTCTGTACAAATTATCTCAGATGTCAGTTTGAATACAGTTAATTACATATTTCAATCTAAATTACTTACAAACTTGACAGAATTATAGTGAGGATAAGTTATATCATTTTTGTTATTTTGATTCACTGTATAAGTACTTCAATTCAATGCTGTGATATAATGCTTTTAAAAGGTCTCTTAAAACTTCAAGAAAGCCTGACAACAGAAAAATGACCATGAGTCTTTCATAAGTATCAAGAGAATCAAAGAGTGATTAATAACATAATGGGAATTATCCTTTACAAAAAGATACTTCATGTCATAACTTGTCTCTTGCCACTGGACTATTGTCACACACTGAAGCACCTTAAATATTATGTTCATTCTTAATATTGTACCTGCATTTTTTCTACTTGACAAAATCATTATATTTCATTCAAAGTCAAAAATAACATTTTTTCCATGATAAACATTAGTAATTAGAGTTCAACATCTGCATAGCAACAATTTTTGAAAGACAAACATTTTGGTTGTTGCTGAGAGGTGTTGTTCAATGAAAATTACAATTATTGTTTACTCAAACTTTGGGGGGGGGGGGGGGTGAAAACTGTTGTAATGAGGTAGTCTAGTTACAAAGGACTGCTCTGAGGAGGTTGCATTGTGTCAATACATTTAAACAAAGATATTTGAACAGAAGAAATTATATCCACCATTTATTTCAATGAAAAAGAATGCATCTAAACTTTTCCATATCATTAAAGTAATTCAAGACTTAAGACAAATTAATTTATAATATGTAAACTAGAAATATCTGTTTAATTGTGAAATATTGTGAAGAAGCATTGTCATGAAATTAAAGATTTTTCCATTTTCATTAAAATAGTGCCTTACATACTCACCATTACAATCTTGTCTCTTTCTGAGGATTTAATTCACTGGCTGGTCTTCATATCTAAGAAATATAATCACATTGAAATAATTTAAAACATTATTTATAAACATGTAAATTAACTATTTTGCAAGAGTTACAAAGTCAACAAAATTAGAAAAAGAAGAAAAATATACATGTAAATGAGCTTACTAATGATAATTACAAATACTTTTTTTAGAAATTATTTTACCACTTAAATTAGTCTTCTTTTTAATTTTTTATTAATGGTTTTAAATTTATCATATAACAATCATATTACATCAATCCATACTTGACAACTTGTGTAACTTTGCCTATAATATATTGTCTGTGAAAGTCCAGATACATTTTAAGCTCTAAGTAAAAATTTAAGTAACAGAGCATCTTGTTTCTCTTTATAAATAAATCTTCAAATATCTGTTATTCCCACAAAAAATAGTTCAGGACAGAACAAAAAACAAACATACACAGAAAGGAATGGAAAACATGATTCCTACATACCCTAACTATGTTGTTGGAATGAACAATATTAATTCCTCCCATACATTTACATGAGTTCAAAAAATATACCCATGTATAGGATATGAGTATATAAGACAATCTTAAGAAACATTCAATATGTGAACAAAATTTATTCTAAGCTGCTGAATTGAAATATTCAGTATTATTCTACAACTGCTGAATTTCTGTACATATTCTTGTCCTAACCTTATGATCTAGGGTGGCAAACAACTTTGAAATTATTCGAAATATAAGCACGCAAGATTAATTTTGAGTTAAATGAAAATGTATTTAAAAATGTGTTTGTTACTTACCACATTTATTCATGTTAACATACAATGTGTGTAATAAAGGAAATTTGACTTAACTTAACTAAATATACAGTAAACAAATACATGGAGTTGATTAATTTACCACTAGACCCTAATGATAATTACAGGTTTTTATCAATCACAACCACACAACTATTATCTGGATTAAATCACCTGAAAAAGGTGTTAAAAAGTAAAGACTGTCTTCTTGACAGATAAAAAAATCAATATAAAACATATTAAGCAGGATTTCCAGTAATATTTTTGTTGCACATAATACCTATCACATTCATTGAAATAATTTTCATTAAAGAAACCTATGATCTTTAGATCTTAACTAAGTTTCAAAAACTTAATTGCATATTATACTTTAACAAATTTTGAAACTGATTCGTTAGTAATATTATTTATAAAATATGAATGTTGCTTACAATATTTCCTATTATTCTCACATTGAATCAAAAACATATAAATAAAACTAAAATTCTGTGTAGAAAAAAATAATAATTAAAAATAAATAATTTTTTTGGAGGAGGGCGGGGGAGGGGGCTGTCAGGGGAGGAAAATGATGGAACGTTTTGAACGGTTTAGGTGAGAACTGTCAGTGGTGGGGGGACTGGTAGGGTGAGAATAGTCTGTCTTTCATCCAAGACATGTATGTTTCCTTTTCTTTTTGAAAGATGAGCAGTTTGTCCTGAAATGTGGGACAGTAAATACATGTATAACATAGTAATTAGAAAGTGGTAAATGATGATTTATCTTTATATTGCTTTAACCTAGCCCCAATAAACACATTTAGATATAATGTAAGACTATTTTTAATTTTCTTTAGTACTAAACAAGAAATAATATAAAAAATCAAATATAACTACATGTACATGTACACGTTGGATTGTATTGATATAAAATGTAAATTCTTTTAATCATATAGTAATAAACAGGTAAACAAGAGCTGTCGGTAGGGTCATGATGTTGAAGAAGTGTGCAAAGTTTCAAAGCCATATGTCAATGGACTTTGAAAATATTTGAGGTATGATATATAACGTAAATTTTAAGTCGAAAAAGGGGCATAATTCATTAAATATTTGAAAATATCTAAGGTATAACAAAAACTTTAATGTAAATTATAAGTCGAAAAAGGGGCATAATTCTGTCAAAATGCTTGCTACAGTTACCTCCCCCTGTCTACAGGTTGGGGTTATAATGGTGAACCAGTGTGCAACGTTTCAAAGCCATATGTCAATAGACTTTGAAAATATTTGAGATAATACAAAAACTTTAACATAAATTCTAAGTCAAAAAAGAGGCATAATTCTGTAAAAATGCTTGATACAGGTACCTCCTCCTGTCTACAGGTTTGGGTCATAATGGTGAACAAGTGTGCAAATTTTCAAAGCCATATGTCAATGGACTTTGAAAATATTTGAGGTATGATTACAAAACTTTAACGTAAATTCTAAGTCGAAAAAGGGGCATAATTCTGTCAAAATGCTTGACACAGTTGCCCCCTCCTGTCTACATGTTGGGTTCATGATGGTGAATAAGTGTGCAAAGTTTCAAAGCCATATGTCAATGGACTTTGAAAATATTTGAGGTATTACAAAAACTTTAACATAAAGTGGTTACGCCGACGCGGACACCAACGCCGACGCTCGGGTGACTACAATAGCTCTACTTATTCTTATCGAATAGTCGAGCTGAAAATAACAGATAAATATGGTTGGCTGATATTTCATATTAGGCAATATAAAAGCAGTTTAATAAGCTTAGGAGAGTGCTTAACTTCTCAACTCATGCATAGTTGGTTCAAGTGACTGTTTATCTTTCATAGTCTGTGATGCATGGCATGCCACTGACATAAACAAAAACAAAAGAAAAAGAAGACAACACTCGTCAACAAAAATTGGAGAGTGGATTATGGGGGCTCAGCCCCTCCTAAACGCAGTCCCAGAAATATGATATCAATGCATAGGTTCATGTTGTAGCAATCTTTTTATTTAGGTAGAGCTAAAACAGTCTGTATTTATATCAATAGACTGATAAATGCAACAAAATGGTTACCTTATAAACGGGATTTACCAGCGACTGTCAGCGATGAGAAATAGTTCCCATTCACTATAGCAGCATCCTCACACTTATAAATGCACGCATCAGACTCAAGTCAGCAGCCCAGTTACTTTTTGTGGTTGTAATATGCATTAAAATTACGACAGACCTCTTCATTCAGTTTGACATTTCTTTGCGCCTTATCTCCATTTTGAAGAGTACGTGTTATTGCGCAGGCGTTATAATCGTTCGTCTATGAAAATCGTAAGATTTTAAGTTGAACGTACGACTGCGTTGATAAGTCAGTCTTACGATTGAGCGTACGACAATAGTTGATCAAATTCGTACGATAAGATTTCCAAAATCGTACGATCGTTGATAAGACGGGCCCCAGGATACTGACGATACCAATTAATACAAAATAAAGTCAAAAAGATATTTTTGTCCCTCCGGTATGTATTTTCTAAGGATGGAACAGCGGCTTGTTAATTCCACCAGCAGTCTGAACTGTGAAATCCGGACAAGATGTTTCTTTTAAGCAGCAAAGCGGAACGTACTTGCAAATTGCACAACTAGTCTTAGTACAGATCAATAATGAGAAGTTTCGTCAAAATTTCATTAGCAGTTTGACCAAGCTTAATGCTGACGTACAGACAGACGGTTAGCGAAGACAAAATCAATTAGATAATTGAATAATACGTTCTTTTTGATATATACCACTGAAAGAACCACTGGTCATTAGTAGACTACTAGACCTCACAATAAAGAACCAGCGGTGACATTGTTAATCTTTATTAAGACTTTAACTAAATATTGAGACTTTGGAGAGCAGATTGCCTTATGATTAAGATCTCTGCCTGTCAACACAAGGATCGAGGTATCGTGTCACACAAGAAACAAAATCATGTTTCCTCTTATTATACCGACACTTGTTAGTTCCATGAAATGCATTCGGGTGTGATTCAAATAAATCTTAATCTTTTATAGCAATCGGTCGAAAATGAGTTTGTTCAAACTTATTTTTATTTAGTCGCTATTTAATATCATGGAGCGAGGTATGATATGCATTTTTTATTTGGTTTTCAAATATCGAAACATTATTTATTAATTTAACAAAATAATCAACATGATACTGATAAAATAAATTAGACTTACGTGTTTTTTTCTCCGTTGCCTGATCCAACTCATTCACTTGCTTTTGCAAAACCGTAAGTCTTTTGGACAGGTCTGAAAGACCATCCTTGCAAGTGGTTTTGACCTCATCTATAACTGCTTTTAAGTCATCTAAACCGGAAAAGCTGTTCTCAACGTCTTTCTTAATATTTGCCACAACTTCTGACATGTTTCTCATGCTTTCTAAAATAACCAATCTAGAGCTATCACTGAAGGTGATTCAAACACCCTACTTATACCAAATAAAGTAAGAATTTGGGATGTAAACTTATATAAGTTACTTATTTTCAATTAGAGTCATAATCACTGAATTTGATTGAATGATTAATTGATATCCCCAATATACCATCTTGTTACCGCAATGATTACTAGGTGAAATAAAAGATTCATTAAAATTGATTAATTTCAAGGTAAAGAAAACTGTTTTCAAATTACAATGTATTGGCTATCAAACAGTGAAGTTTTATTTTGTTTGTTAATACTTTCATTTTGAAGAAGCCACAGCTTTTCCTTTTTATTAAGTGGGCTGTAGCCAAACTCAACCGGACTTTTATTTCATGATATTATGTAAACCAAAATTTGTTCCAATTTAATACTTAATATTAATCCTCTTTAAACTTAATCATAAAGGAGTTATCTTCTAGAAACTGCATATTATGCAAAAATGAAATCGAAAAAGCTCAACAAGTGATTGAAAAAGAATAATTTGAAGATAAATTAATACTTGGCATGTATTTTATGATGTTATACCCTTGTACAAAACATAGTGTTAGTGAATCACATCTTAAATGACTTATCATCTGGAAATTATTTTTTTATAGTTGTAAATATGTTATCAGTGAGTGGCGAACAATGTAAGATAACAAGCGTCACCAAAGATTAGAACAATCCAAGGCTTCATTACAGAGTAAACCAATGCAAGCAGAAGAAGGTGTCATAAGTATGTGAAAAAGTAATGGCCTGATACCAAATTTTAATTCAACCTGTATTGTATGATGTGATATATATGTGTACGAAAAATCATCATAATCTATTGTTTTATTAAAGAGTGATAAAAAGGACCATAACTTTGTGAAAAAATGAGGGTTTTGAGTCAGAATTTAAAGTTGATCTGTACTTTATAGTATAACATCTGTCACCTATGTACCAAGAATGATTATAATCTTTTTTTGTTGAAGAGAGTAATCGACCGGAGACCATGTTTTTCATAAAATAATGTAGGCTAAAAGTGAGATAACTCTGTGAAAATAAAAGTATGATGTCAAATTCGAACTTGAACAGTATTTTATGATGTTAAATCTGTGAATAAAAAATTATTTAATCGATAGCCTCTTTCAAGAGTTTTCATCTGGATATCATGAACTGGACTGACAGACGGGCTGGCGGATGGACTGACCGGTCAACGAACTGGCTCCCTTTATACCCAACCCTAAACTTCGTTTGTGGGGGTACAAATATTTGAGTAAGAAAGAAAAAATCAAAGTAAAGTAGATCTACCTACATTGAATGCAAAATGTTTGCAAATTTTCGTTACATAAACAGAAGATGGCACAAAATGCTCGAAATCATCGCTAACCCTACCTGAAAGTTCATCCTCGAACTTTTTGTTGATCTCATCTGTAATCACCTTTAAGTTATCTAAACCGGAAGTATTATTCTCAAGGTCATTCCTGATACTTCTTACATCTGCTGCAATGCTTCTTATACTCTCTAAAAAGCAAAAATAAAATAGATAAATTTTTATGTATATTATTTTAACATGACAAAATGGTAAAAAGAAAAAAAGAAAGAGGACAAAACACCTGTACAATGATAGATGAATCCATTGAACACAGAAGTTAAATATTATGTTGCGAAACTTTTTAATTCGTTTTCTTGTATGATCCATATGCATTAATTAGCATTGACAATCTTTGTAAATTATATCTCCTGCATTTACTCTTAGAATATGAAAACAGTGTGACCACACAAGATTTTTAATTAACGCAGTCTATATTTCAAATGTATATGGCCATTTTACATTGATTATTAATTGGTTTTTAAGATATAATATCTCGTAATTACGAAATATCATATCGTTTTGCAAAAAACTATTTTTTAACGAAATATTGATTTTTAAAAACAAACTATTATTTCGTAATAACACAACATTGATTCGTAAATAACGGACCGACCAACGAACTGGCTCCCTTTTTCACCCCAACCTAAACTTCGTTTTTGGACGTACACATGTTTTAGTAAGAAAGAAAAAATCAAACTTAAGTAGATCTACATACATTAAATTCAAAATGTTCTCAAATTTTCGTTACTGTACATGAACAAGAAGATGGCACAAGCTGCACGAAATCATCGCTAACCCTACAAATGTTTGGTGGCGCTTTGACTTGTGTTTATATATTATTAACATGCATAAAATGAAAGAAGCACACTTGTAAATCAGTTTGCAAATATGCCAATATATGTATGTAAACTATGTGATTGAATTGTGTTTAAAGAATATACTGTATTTTGTCACCCTATTTTTTGTGAAATTTTGTTCACATCGACACTGTTATGGTAATATGTAAACTTTCCAGCTTTACCCGTGGAAGAAGATCTCAAATCATTCGTCTGTCTTTCCAAATTTTTAGACAGGTCTGAAAGTCCATCCTCACATTTTTTGTTGATCTCATCTGTAATCACCATTAAGTTATCTAAACCGGAAGTATCATTCTCAAGGTCATTCCTAATATTTCGTACATCTGCTGCAATACTTCTTATACTCTCTGTTAAGCAAAAATAAAATAGATATCTATTTATTATTTTAACATTACAAAATGGTAAAAAGAGAAAAAGAAAGACAAAAAACCTTTACAAAGATAGATTTACACTGAAGACAAAAGTTAAATATTGTGTTGCGAAACGTTTTAATTCGTTTTCTTGTATGATTCATATGCATAAATCAGCATGGACAATTTTTGTAAATTATATCTCCTGCATTTACCCAGAGTGACCACACAAGATGTTTTATTTATGCAGTCTATATTTAAAAGCAAAATTATGGCCATTTTACGTTAAACATTAATTGGTTTTTAAGATATAATATTTCGTTATTACAAAAAATATTATATCGTTTTGCGAAAAATTATTTTCTAACGAAATATTAATTTGTATTAAAAAACAATGTTTCGTTTTTACGGGTTGAACAGAATCACAATAGACACTTTGACTCTTTCTTGTTGGCTCAATAACTTGATACTTATGACTTCAAGTGTCTATATATTGTTACACTATTGGGACTCGGACATCAGTCGTTCACAATTGGTAGCACGAGCCTTGGATTCTGAACTTGGGTAATAATGGGCAATGTCTGTTATGGGTAGCTATCTTGATCAGCTTCCAGCTGTTGCTTTCCTTTTAAAACACTAATTCTTGTGATAATTCATGTGATGCAATCGAAAAACTAAGACTTTTGATAAACTTAAAACTTCAATTTATTCATTTAATGAATACCTATATCTTTTCTCTTTCAACAGTCAATCGCAATTATATTTTATACAAGAACAACTTATGTCAACAATACATCACTATTATTCCATTTACGAAATATTCACTTTCTCTCTCAGGATTTATTACATTCAACAAAGTCACAAATTCAGACATATAAGGCAGATAAACTTAAATAACCTTTCAGTACTGTCAGTAAGCTTTGTAAAACTGCTACTTTTAAACAATAAAATTATCAGCTTAAAATTACTTAAAACAGTACTTATCAAAATGTTAATGTAAAAACTTGTAGAAAATATTCACCAAAATAAGTTAAAGTACCTTAAAGATTGTTGTTTCTCGAATAAAACTTAAACTGTATTAAGCAAGTTGTTTGCATGTGTGTCCTCGAAAATGACCTCACAGCAGTTTATATACTACCCAGACTTCACACAAAAAAGTGTGGAAGTTCACATTTCACAACTTGTGAAGTTTGTCAACTTCACATAAAATCATGTGAAGCCAGCTCCACATAAAATATTGTGGAACTGTGAAGCTCACAGTCACTGGAAACAAATGAGAATTTTAATATTAAAATTACCAATATATCAATAATTATTAGTCTTATTTAATAGAATATAATTAATACAAAAGATTGTAACCTCAAATTTCCTTTTAAGGTGGTTAAAAGTTTTAATTGTTGACATCTCTGCATTGACAAGTAAACAATAAAAGGAAGCTGCAGTTGCTAAGCAACTACCCACAATGCAATGCAACAGGATGTATACAAACATGGCTGCTTAAACCAGAAAGTAAACGAGAAAAGCATTGATGCAAAGCATCAAAGGGCGTCCAAGCAAGAAATGCAGCAGGTGAAGATGAACTAGCAGATATATGATGACAAGATATTCTTATAAACTTTTCAATGGTTAATTGGTTTTTACCAGAATTGTATATCACTTATGAATGAAAGGACGAAAGACATTGTTCATTATTAACTTTGATTGGCATGCTAGAAATTAGAATATTTACTTGTTATTTCTTATGATCGTGTTTATTAATAGCAACGATATACATGTATACAATCATTTATAATCCATATGTGTAATGCATGATCAACACCACACTTGTGTAATTGTCCCTTATTAGCGAAGACCCCCTCTAAGGTATCTGTTCACACTTAGTAACAATATGACACTGGTTATATTACCATGTTGATCATGTTGAGCATAATTTTTTATTATACAATTATTGTAATATCTATTTTAATAAAAAAAAATTACAGATTTTATTAATATGTTTTCTTTTCTTTTTTGTTTATTTTTAATACTGAGTTTTTACGTTTACTACTATTTTTAAGGATTCAATTGTCATATTGACTGACGATTAATTATAAGTCAAAACTTAAGTGGAAAAGTCAGTAAATTATGGTTTAATCTTTCAATATATAATATTGTTTATTCTTAAACCATATACATGTACATTTGTTTTTTTTTATCATTTTTAAATTATCAATCAATTGCATAATTCATTAAATCTAATTTGTAACTTTGAATAATTCCTCGGCATCTTTACTAAACACGAATAACAAATTAAATAAAATGTTTCAAAGTTGATAGTGTCATATTAATATCATAAAATGTACCTTTTTCTCAATTATTGCACATATTTATTGTTTTTATCTCATATAGATAAAATGAAACATGCTATTATGTTGTTGTTGGTTTTTTTCGGATTTGTATGTTTATGTATAATAATAATCAATAAATTTGAAAGTTGATCTGTGTTTATTTGCGTCGGATTGTATGTTTATGTATAATAAAATCAATAAATTTTGAGAGTGATCTGTGTTTATTAATTATTGTAACCAAACTAAGTGACAAACAACATTCATTTTGCGAAAAAAAGCTTTATTTATCTGTGTAAAATATTTTGTTCTGTTCTGTAACGATTATCTAACATCTACTCCAAAATCGGGAGGAGACCGTACAATAAACGTGTGATACTATTCGCCGGTCACTAGTAAAAATCCCGGTCAAATAGACCGGGAGAGACGGGGAATTACCGATAGCAGTACATCCCTCTATAAAAAGATGTTTGGATGGTTTTAGTCATCAACTCAGCAATTATATTTTAACATACCATAATAACCCAATGTGTACTTAACAAAATGATAAGTAATAAAAAAACGAAGAGACGGAAAAGGTTATTTCATGCATTGCGAAATTCTCCATTTCGCTATTCATTCCCTGCGGTCTGGAGACCGCAGGGTATTGGTACGCGTTTAACTTTTTAGGCATGGAGGAGCACGTGACCTGTTTTCGGTACATGGAGGAGCATGTGATCTGTAAACCGTACATGATTGGTTAATTGACCTTTTCGAAAACCTAGCTAAATACCGTTTTGCCGATACCTTTACGGATTTTACCTCTAGGGAATTGTGGTGTCACACCCGCGTACGGAAAAATAAGACCAGATCTAGAAAAGTAGTTCTTTTGAATTTTGAAATGGCCTATTTCAAGTCATCTTAATTGATACTGGTTATATTTTAAGTATATCTTTAGTAATTGTGTACATAAGTTTCATTTCTGAGTACTTTAAAGGTTGTTTTTGATGTATTTTAGCAGGATTTCATTTCTGGTGGAAGGTTTCAGGAGGCACTATGCACAAGAATACACACCAGTTACTATTTGGAATATTCTATAGTGATTACAGAAATTAAAAGCTAACAGAAAAACCTCCAAGGGCTAATGTATTATTTGTTTGTGCTAAATTTACTTGGACTGCATTGATGTTTAAAGAAATGGTCATGAAATTTCGGTACCGGATTTGCTTTGTCCAGAATTTAGCCTTAAATGTGATGGATTAAGTATAGGATATATAGGTCGAAAATTCATTGGGCCGTCTCCCCGAATTACACATAATTAAGAACAAAATACTTGTACGTTATATTTCTAATTTTCTATAATTATTTTACCGTTTAGGGTGTAAAAACTTGAATGATGTGTTTGAAAATCATCTATGTTTCTTTAAAATCTAATACTGAAAATCTACAAAATTAAAATATTCGTAGTGGCATCTGCCATGATAAATAGAGATATTTTCTGCGTAAACCTGTGTGTTTACTTTATTTTTTTGCTCGGAATTATTCATAAAATGGTAGGCCTATTTAATCATTAAATTTTCTTTAAAAGAAAAAAATTGTTTCATCGTCTTCAACGGTCACCAGTTTCGAAAGACCTTCTATATTGATCGATTATTGTTAACTATATTCTTGATACAAACGTTTATTTATCCCCCCCCCCCCAAAAAAAAAACAAAAAAACAAAACCAATGTTGAAAATAGTGAAATATCTTTATATCATTAAAAATGTTCCCCGCAGGAAACCATTTTACTTGTTGTACATATCGAGACATTTTTTTTAATCAAGCACCCTCATACCGATCGGAATGATCGGCTTTTATTATGACCGAATAAAAGGCTCGAGAAGTTGCTGTCGCCCATTCACAAAATCTGATTTCATTCCATAAGGGCGCCGCGCTTCGGCGCGGACGCCAATTATATTATCCTGCATTTACAAGTACTACATGCACACAATAAACTTATTTAAGTTAAAAACCTAGCAATTATAAAGCCCTGAATATAGACTTGTTATCCACCATGATATAAACCCATTAGACAAGAAATGAAAATACAATAAAGCTTTAAAGTTAGGTTCTATCTGTCTCTATTAAAGTTACTATAGACCAGGGTATTACAATATTTAGTGAATGAAGCGGTATGTGAGGCCCTGGCCAATCGATGACCCCTATTGATTTTTTTTGGTCAGTCGTTACAGGTCAAGGCCGCAATGACCTTGATTTTAGAAATTATACAGGGCTTTTCCAGCTATTTTTGGGGAAAGGCCCCTGGATTAAATTCGGAAAATTATGTGGCATTTTGTGAAGTTGAGAAATTTTCAAAAAATTCAAAAGTCACCTTACAGATGGGTTTGAAAGGGGCTGACCTCCAGATGTTAGAAAAAAAGTCTTGTAATATTTATCAGAAGGCTTTAAAACTAAGTCCCTGACTAAAGATAAGTCAGGTAAACACTAAACACAGTATAAATAGTGATTTTTTTCTTCCTTATCTTATATCTGAACGCGACGGTATTACAGTATTGTAATCTATATTTGTTTTCTTTGTTTGTTTTGGGTAATTTTACGCTACATCGACACAGTATAAGTCATATCGCAACGTTCCATCTTTACTGGTGGAGGAAGACCTCATGTGCCCTTCCGTGCGCTATTTCAGGCACGA